TTTTATTTTAAAAGTAAAATTTAAAAGGTATTTGTAGTGCTTAGGTATAAAATATTGTAACTATAACTATAAAATTCGAATAGAAATCTAAATACTTAAAAACAATAAATAACATACTAAGAAGGTGTTTTGGATTACATTTTCCTGCTTATAAACAGCTTTAAGTACCTTACTTCAACTTATATATTTGCAACATAAAAAAATAGGCAATTGTTAGGTTCTTAACATGACGTTAAGGTGGAAAACAGAAATATTATTTCTAACTTGTCATATTCTTATTTTCTAAAATCTAATTAATTATTTATTTACTTTCTTGATATTCTCATAAAATCTATTGTATATGTTATTATTATGTAAGTCATAAAATATTTATAATAAATATATATTTTTATCAAAAGCATATATTTATTTTTTGTGATCAGTATTATACCCAAACGTTTAATTACTTATTTTTTGAAAAAGAATTTACCTACTTTAAGTAACTTAAAGTATCCAATAACTTTAAGTACATTTCTTTAAGTAATTCTGAGTATTTTCTTAAACAACTAAAGACCTAGTAATATTATACTATTATAACAAATTGTAGATTAGATAGAAATGAAATCACTAATTTACTTAAAAAATCTAGTTATCTATTTTCATCATTCTTATTGCTTGGAGAAAACTTCACCTTGATTTTTGAGATGCTGAACAGTCAAGAAACCCAATCGTAAAATATCAAGAGAGAATTTTGGTGAACTTCACATTGATCATCCTCTTCAATAACAAAGGTGATGTAAACACAACTAGTTAGAAGTGGGTAAGATGAAGTTGTCATAATTGACAAGTTTGTCCTTGATTTGGACATCAATGAAATCTAATTGTTGTTTGGGTTTATCCTTGCACTGAATAGCCATAGAATTCTCTTAAGGCGAAACATCTTGAGCAATCTCAAAATCTTTAGTTTCAGGAAGACATGCTGGTTCTTCTTGTTCCTCCATTCTAGCATGTTGATTAAAATTTGATACTGATGGTTTTAACTTTTCAAGTGGTTTTTCCATCAATATATCATTTTCATTGATTGCTGGCTCTTGTAGGCATCGATATTTATGCATCTCTACTGTAGCGTAGTTATAGGCTTTAAAACCACATTCTTTATGCCAAGAATGGGATGATAAGTATTGACAATCATGTCCATGCTGAACATGCCAATGGTAAGCCAATATATGCCTAGAAGAATATGTGCAATCACAGAGGACAGTCATTGCAGGAGCTACTAGGAATAGAAACAAGACGCTATTAGAAGAATATGTGGTCGTATTGAAAGATCAGGTAATTTAATTGTAGAGTTCGAAACAAGGTTCACATAACACTCCTCATAAATGACCAGGTTTTTGCTTTTATTTCATCAATGAACTAGGATTTGAAAAATTAGAGGATAATCTTCTTTCCCTTGAACTGCTTGGTTGTGCTTACTTGTAGCAACAAAGTAGTATCAAGTGTAGCCTCTATCAATGATTGCTCATTTTCTTCCTGAATATTCACCATATTCAGAATAGTTTGGCTGTGGTTAACTGCTTGACTGAGACTGTTCGGTTGGGGCGACTGGCTTGTTGCTTTGGTTTCTTTTTCCTAGGGACTCTGGATTTTATCTAATTAGGGTTTCTGATTTCCATGGTGACTATCTCAGTCGTCAGATACTAGTTGACGGCTATCTGAACTGGTGGCTCATAAGTACTGACATTGTCTACCATTTCTGCTTGTTGTTTATTCTTTTCCCCTGATGGTCTAGGATCTGTGTCAACATAAGGTCTTAATATTTTGATTAACTTTGGGTCTGATACCAATTAATGTAGGATAAACTACCGTTCATTTGCTTGCTTGTGGAATTGGAGTAAACTCAAGGATTCTTAGATATCACACTTAAAAATTGGGTTAGAAAATTAGAAATGTAACTAAGAGTAACTCCTAAAGTTCCCTTAAGCAGCAATTTAAGATGGGAATTTCTTAAGTATCACATATAAGATAAGATGCATCACAATATCAGTAACTAAGTAAACTCTTTAGAATGCTTTTTATCTCGCAAGTAAGTTACAAAAGTATAAATAGTGCTTAAACATAAAATCCTAATCTAACTATCTAAAGAATAGTAAATGCTTAACATAATTTAAATCGTAAATAAAATCCTAATCTATTAGAAAATTCATATCATACTATTACACCAGGTTATAGATTAGATAGAAATACAATTTATTTAGATGTTAGTTCGTATCCATTTCGTATCGATAGGTTTTGGCAGAATTTTAGGGTTTACTCATTTATACAGAGTTGGCGTTGGGGCATAGTTTGTTGGTCATTTGTGAATTTGAAGTATTGGTTGCAAATTGCCATATGCTGCTTGCATTATTTGGATTCTATGATAGTGCCCCCTGAAACAAACAGGAGAGTAGAATGGGGATTTGGACACCAGTGTTGCCATTTTTGGACTGAATCCCACATTGTGTTATTGAAAATGCCATTATTTCGGGATGCCTTGTTGTGCTTTGAATCTCAATCTTTCTAATTGGAAATGATTTTGTATTTGTAGCTTTCCTTTTCTTGGAATGTAATTTTGGGAGATAGGGTTGTGAATACTAGTGATGAGATACTTAAAATTTATCTGGCTGTAAGTTTTCTATCTTTGAATTTTTCTTTTGTTAAAAAAAATGTTTGTCTGACTGGAAGAAGAAAATGATGCTTAAAGTATTATGGCTGTACTATGTCGGACAGAATTGAATACAATGTGGTTTGGGCTCCAAAAAACCAGTTTTTGATGCATTATGGGATTCTTGGGGATCGAGAAGCTGTACTCGTGTATGCTTTTGATGTTCTGTGACCCTGCATAGTTCATGTGGTATTTGCTGATTTTTTTTGTTACTTCTAATTCTGCATCTTATCCTAGATCTTTGTTTGCTTGATCATGAGTCTTATTGCGGATTTACAATTTTTCAGGTCCTTAAAGTAAGAATTTCTTTGTAATTTGAAAAAACTTGTATTTAAGCTGGCAATTTTTACACTCTTCCACCATATCCATGATTTAGCAAACTGATATCTTGACTTCTGATTATTGTTTTTTTATTTTAAATATATATTGTCTAATTATGCTAAGTTCAATTTCAATTTTACAGAATTAGGCTTGTGGCTGTTGCTACACAAAAGTTTGTTGCAGAGGTTGCCAGTGATGCTCTTCAGTATGCTACTGAAAACTTTCTTGTTATGTTGCTCATTTCTTTTTATTTTCTTTTTCCCCAATGTAATATCTAATTTCTACATGTGGGTTTGGGGATATGGGTGAAAACCGAATTTTCTAACTTTTTGAATAGGAGGATCTCATTATGAGTAATTGGCATACTCTTAACCTGTTGTTTCCATGATGTTTATTGGATTTATATTTTTGAAAGGAACTTATAGTTGGAAACTCTTTCTTGAGCATTTTCTGCTATATACAGAAATGGATTGTAATAGGTTTATATATATTTTTTTAAAATAAAAAGTGTGAATGTAATATTATAAACATAGTACCAAAGGGGGTACCACCCATGTACAGTAAATTTACATTCTAGTCAGGATATCAATGCTAAACCAAAAATCCTCATCCCTCATCATGTCGTGCCTCAATAAAATAGTCCCAAAAAAATGTAACCACCTATCTTTCAATCTATACATCAAATTCTCTTTTCTGTCAAAAGATCTAAGGTTTCTTTCCTCCTAAATAACCCAAAAAATAGTTGGAGAAATCAACTTATTGCAATCATTTTCAAGACTGAGTCCAGTCCATGCCCAAATTTCCTCTTTGACAGTACCAGCCACCACCCAGTTTAGCTCCAGAAGTCCATACACCATACTCCATAATTCAGAAAACACTGGACACCATAATAAAAGTTGGTTACAAGACTCTGCAGCTTTCGAACACAGGTAACACCGATTGACAATATAATGACCTCTCGATATTAATTTATCTTGTGTCAAAATACATTCCCTGGCTGCCTCCCAAGCAAAGAAAGCAATTCAAGGCGTCACTCTAGATTTCCAAATCTGTTTTGCCAGAAAGCTGCAGTTTATGTCATCCCCTACCCCCCGATAAAACAGTAGTATGACCTAGCAGAAAACAACCCGTTTTGATTCAACTTCTATTTCACACTGTCAGCAGAGTTATTCAGTTTCTGTGCCTCCAGAAGACTTAGCAAATTTTCATACTCCTGAATTTCCCAATCATTTAAATTCCTAAGGACATTCACTTCCCAAAACCTGTTACCGTTATGCTCCTTATAGACCTCCTTGACAACCATGTTTCTGAATTGGACAATCTCAAATATTTTTGGGAAATGGCTCATGAGACAACCCCCTTTAATCCAATCATCCTTCCAAAATTGAATTTTGTCTCCACAGCCAATACTCCAATCAACGCAGTTCTGAAATCAGTGCCAATCCATTTGAATTTCCTCCACAGCCCAAGACAGTGCCTCCTGAATCTGCCTGACCCGTCTCTGCCCAGAATATCATCCCATCTGACAGTAATAATCTTCCTCCATAGTCAATCTTCTTCCATGGCAAATCTCCATAACCATTTCGCCCTAGGGGCAGTATTTAAGTCAGTAAGAGATTTTATCCGTAGCGCCCCCCCCCCCCCCCCGCGGCTTGATTGGTTTCTTGATGTCACCCCAGTTTACAAGTTTTATATTTCTGCTGTTCTAGGTCACCTAATTTCTTTTTGGTAGATTCTAAATTTCATCTAATAATGGGAGAGGTGTAGTTTAGATTATTCAACCAAAAAATATTTGTTGGAGTTTCACATGTCCATTTTAAGTTGGCAATAGAATTTATTTTGTAACCAATATACATGCTAATGTAGACAATGCAAGGCAAGGCAGGCAGCAGTGGTTAAAGACAAAAGAGAGAAGCAGCAAAAGGTGTTCCTCTTGTATCTTATATTTTACAGAAGTTCCTCATTTATTTCTAGAACCACCTGAGCATGCTTTATTTTAAATTCACTTAAAATTTTCCTGCAAACAGGATAAGCGCTTAATCTTGACAATGGAGGACCTCTCAAAGGCACTGCGTGAGGTAGGCCCTAAATTATTTTATTTCACCTGTAAATTTGGGGAGCATATTTTTATGCTAATTCAATTATCATCATGTGGACTTCTTTTGTGAAACTTAGGATGCATACTTTCTTTTTTTTTTTTCAAATATTTTTCATGATCTTTATTCCACCTTGGATGATATGCGATGATTATAAGGGGGATGTCTGAAAAGAAAATAACTGGAAAGGTTTGAGAATGTTCAAACTCAGTTATTTTTGCAGTAGCATAGAATTTGAAGAATTTAGGTGAGGAAATAGATCAAAAGTAGAAAAACTAGGGGGAACTAGGGGATTCAATGGAAAAGAGAGGGACAAAACAAGATAGGGTAGAAAGAACAAGAACCAGAAAAAATGATGTCAGAGAGAGACTGCAAAAAAAAACCCTGAGAAGATATCTTCACAACAATTCTCCACTAATGTTCAGGTTACTGGCCATTTACAATAGTCACCAAGTACAACTCTAATTATAACTAATAAGGAAAATATTAAAATAATAAGAAAGGACATTAAAGGTTTCAGAATCCTAATAAAACTTAAACCTATCTAAATAATCTAAATAAATTAAAGATGCTAAATAATAATAGTTGTAAAAACTTCTTAGGTAATAAAATTAATCCTTTTATTTAAAAAAAATAAAACTGATCCATGGCAACATCTTTTTCTGTATCAGTATTTTTCTAGTTTTACTATTGTCATTATACCTTGGAGGTAGTTATATTTAGGTAAAATTACTTGAGCAATCATGATGAAATGGACAGCAGTGGAGTATCAAACATTCTGCTGTCTGTGATAATGTGATAATGCGATAATGGTTTCAGAATCCTAATAAAACTTAAACCTATCTAAACAATCTAAATAAATTAAAGATGCTAAATAATAATAATTGCAAAAACTTCTTAGGTAATAAAATTATTCCTTTTATTTAAAAAAAATAAAACTGATACATGGCAACATCTTATTCTGTATCAGTATTTTTCTAGTTTTACTATTATCATTATACCTTGGAGGTAGCTGTATTTAGGTAAAATTACTTGAGCAATCATGATGAAATGGACAGCAGTGGAGTATCAAACATTCTGCTGTCTGTGATAATGCGATAATGCGATAATGTGTTCGGTTGAACTTGGCATAGGTTGGTTAAAATTGAGAAGTGGCAGTTCATATGTGATGTCTTGATGCTACTGCTTGAAGAAATGACTTGTTTATGAACAGAGGACTTGTTTATGAATGAAGGACTCTTAAAGTCCAGTTATCCAGCATGCCATACTACTGCTGCAAAGATGATGGTGGTTTATTCATCTTGTAATGAACTGTTAAGTGTATATAAATCTCAGTTGTCATTATTTGCCTATATGATCCTAATGTGTGGCATCATTGGATGGGCAGCATGGCGTGAATGTGAAGCACCAGGAGTATTTTGCAGATAGCCCTTCAGCAGGGATGGATTCTGCTACAAGGGATGAGTGAGGTGGGGGAAACAAGTTCATTTGATTTCCTCCATTCACCATATTGTGTATGATTACAGTGCAGTTTTGTATTTCAGATGACTAGATAACTAATTTGAGCCAGTATTTGTCCGTTATAGTTCTTCTGTTAAATATTGCAAATCCTGCATATATAGATACCCAATATTCTCATGGCCGTGTTACTTCTGCTACTTGCTTGATCTACGTGCATACGTAGGACGTGGGGATGCATGTATATTTGACTAGTCTAGTGGCTACGAGAGACTGCGTTAGTTGGTGGTTAACGTGTTGAAGGATTTCATTTGAAGTCTTCTTTTCTTTTTTGAGAAAAAAATTTCTTTGGAAGTCAGAAATGTTGCACATGCTTATGACTTTTTCGTTTAATTTTTGCAGAAAAAGAAAAAATTTGAAATCAGCCTGTAAGAATTTTGGATAATTTCTCTCTCCTATTCAATGTACCCCAAGGTACTGAAGTCATTATCAATGCAAAATTTCCTGGTGTTTGTTTCTTATTTATCAGACATGAACTGAAGATGTAGATATATAATCAGGAGTATAACTTAATTAGATGACATTTTAAAATTACTTTTGGATGCAAATATCGCGTTTTTTCTTACCAAAGAAGATGGGTAACACTCAAATTTAATAAATTAAGTGTCAATGGGCAAATCATATCGAGTGTGCAATCAGTTTACCAACATTTTTCCACTTTAGGATTAGGTTCTGGGAAAAAGGTCTATCATTTTTATTTTAGAATTCGTGGACGGTGGGTTTCTTCGTTTTAGCCAGAAAATGAATGGTGTAGAATTTATTAATGAATTTATGTTATATTATATAATTTTAAATATGTCCTTTGATATTTTGCTTAATTTTATCTTGATAAACTCTAATTCACTGATTTGCATTAGTTTCTACTTTCAGACACTAATTAGAAAAGTTAAGGCATTTAGAGCATTTTAATATTCTTGCCTATTTGAATCTTTTTTTCTTTTTTGTTCTGAATTAGCAAAAAGTAATTTTTTAAGGTAGGTACTCATATATTAGAATTGGAACCCGTAACCACGAAAGAGGAGACGGGGTAATCAGATATGCCCTTGATTTTTAATATTTTAATTTATTTTTACTTATAATAGAAAAAATGAAAAAAAAAAATCAAATTACATAAAAAAGGTATTTTGTAATACCTCATTTCATATAAATAATAATAATAATAATAATAATAATTCTGAAGAAGGTCAGTGTCGGCACTCGAACCGGTGGTATCAGGTGAGCGAGTAAGGTCTCTTCCTTAGCCACTAAGAGAGTGTCGGGTGTGACGTCCTTTGTGACACCAAAAATAATTTTTAGTATTTATTTTTCAATGCTTTGATTCAGTTCGATTCTTCAGCCTCTCAATTCCGCATCCGCACTCAGTCAAACTCATGCTTACTGGCTGATATATATGCATACACGCATATTTCTATATACTTGAAAGTCTTTCCTTCTCGTGAATTAGTCTTGGCAACGAAGGAAAAAAAAAAAAAAAAAAAATCTTATAACTAACGTATAATATAAAATTGAATATATCAAATTGATGCTCCTAAATTTAATTAGTAATCCCCGTTACAATTCTGTCTCGTTGACTCAATCTTCCTTCCACAAAATACATGATTCATGTAATTAATTCTGATAACATGTTTATTTTTTAATTTATATTCTTTAGACTTATATTTATTCAAGAAAAATTTACAAAATTACATATTTATTAATGAACCAAAGCACAAATAATTTTTTTTTAAAAAAATTTTAATTTATCATTATTGTTATGAGCGTCATTTCTGTTATTAATTAATTTATAATTTTATGAATAAAATACATAAAAATTTAAGAAAAATAAAAAGAAAAAATATTTTGCCTACCGAACTAGGCCTATAATTTTTTGTTGGCTACTGCTCGTTTCTTATGTATTTAAAATGAAGTCGACGCTTGAGAGAAGTTGCCCTGGTGGGACGACCGCCGCACACGTCGAATCTCTTGGCGGATCTCATACTATTCTATCAGTATTTACAACCCAGATTTCCCGATGCTTATTAGTGCAAATAATGACAAGAAAAATATATTGCATGTATTATATAAACAATATTATATATCTATATATATTTATAAAATACCAATTTGTTTCTAGGTGGAAATTGTCAAAAGAATTATTCGTATATTTCAACTGTGTAGTATATATACATGTGTATATATCTATATATATATATATAGAGAGAGAGAGAGAGAGAGAGTAACTAGATTCTGGGAACCAATAAACATCAGCCTAGTACCTGGCACTAATTAATAAATAAATGATGTGGGGGCGTGGATTACTGATTTTGATGGGTAAATCAATGTATGTATATATGT